TTTGCGGATCTGCGATATTGCTATTATAGAAAAATACACATCTGCGCATTTGCAATCTGTTATTGTCTGGTATGCTCATGTACAGTATACAAAATACGGTTTGAGGGATTGCGGTTCTGTGCATCCACAGTAGAGATAAATACGATTCCTATAAAATATTGTTCTGTTAAGTTACTGGTTTGAAAATGTATATTCTGATGGATTACGGATCTGCGATTTTACATTCTGGTGATTTGTGTGTTCCCTATCGGGTCATATACCAACCCATACGTATATACATTCCAAAGTACTGATAAATTTACAATAAGTTGACGAATTTAAGAGTCCAAATTCGAAATATATACCAATCCTATGTTTTATTGAATATTTCAAGTCAAAATTACCTGGAGTAGTTGATGAAAAATTTCTGAATATCATTATTTATTCCAACCCAATTTCTGAAGCTGCACGGCACTGGTGCACTGAAACATATGACCTTGAATTGATTTGATTCGTTTTTTGGATTTGTGACGTACGCGCAAAGAGTATTATACAGACTGTATACCCAGGTAATGCTGCGGAATTCGTTGTGTTCGGGGGCTTGATCGTTGAGAGTCTTACTTAGAAGCTACTCTGGGACTAACCATGTGAATTTCAACACTCAGTAGTAATTATAATGAATCGCACCTACATTGAACTATCGTCACACTGTTTTCTCATTGTAATGAAATCAAGGTACCCAGGTAACAAGCTGACGTCATTTGTACGTCATTATCACGTCAGGCCTGACGTCAGGATGACTTCCAAAATGACGTCATAATGACGTTCATATGACCTTCTAAGTCAAAGACGAATGACGTCATTTTCATGTCGTCAAAATGACGACATCCCAATGGAGTCAAAATGACGTGATCTTTACGATTACTTATATCACTGAAATCTTCTGCATGTTTCAGTTTATTTTGTGCTATTTCGAAATTTTCTGTAGGTAAAAAAAACACTGTTGTATTAGGGTTGTATCAATATTATCAGAAAAGATGAAATTTTATTTGTTTGATTATAGTGATGTTCCTTCACCACATTAAATACAAAATAATATTATAGGTAGGTACTATAAATACCAGTTTCATAAAATGCTCTTTTTATTGGGAACTTATTCCATTCGGATGATGCACTCGAGAGATTTCTCAGAACCCTATGGCATTCCTTCAATGGCGTCCAATTCACATTCTGCTTTTTCGGCATACACCACTTGTCTAAAATAATGACCATGCTGACATCCTCAAATTCTACTACCTGATACATAAATATGAATAAGTATGACCACCACACCACACCACATAGATAGCCGAATAACATGATAATGATGGCCTTTTATGTATTGTTATTTTGTTGTTATGGTCATCATGGCCGCAACGGCGAAGCGAAAGTGAACGGCTTGGACGCTTGGATACAGCCATCTTTAGAAGACGGCTGTGAGACGTTCGCATGTCTGCGCAAGGTCCGTGCCGACCAATCAAGTACAGTTCTCTACGCACTCTCCCGCTCTGATTTGAATTCGCATTCCGGAATAACAACGTTATAAGCTTTTTATGACGTGAAATTCGGTCTTATATTTTTAATAGCTATAGGGAGAATACTTTGCACAGAAGGTATATAATTAACAATTATCTCAGAGACCATCGAAAACACACATCTCGCACAGATTAAAAGAAAAGGTATAATTTATGATGGGTGACATAATAATATATGTTATATAACATAACTACTAACGTTTCCATATAACAGGGATGGGGAACTTCTTGATTATGAATTTTCCTTGATGTAGATGACTCAATAAATGATGGTCATAATAAGTCATGAAAATGACCATCAGATGACGTCATATTGACGACATATCAAGGACGTCTATATAACGTCATATTGAGTAGGTCAAAATGACGTCATTTTGAGTACGTCAAAATGACGTCATTTTGAGGTCATATATGACGTCAATGACCATAAATGACCATATATTGACGTACAAATGACGTCAGCTTGTTACCTGGGTACCTACCTGTATTCTGTAGAAGATTTCATCTGATGTGTTTTTGATTTCATGATATTCTCTTTATTATAGGGTTATGTTCATCATGCAAACAAATATAAGCGAACAGCTGTTTAGCCTGTCACGTCTTATTCTTCCTTTTTTTCACCGTTTGACACCTAGTCGTGAGCAGCGTAAAACCTAAATATACAGGGTTGGGCAAAAGTATGGAACCAGGTGAATATCTCGGTAACCGTTTGTTAAATTTTTCTGAATATATGAACAGGGTGGTTTCAAAACGTAGTGGATTTGAAAATGTTATCGTCGATGTTGACACTTTTTCAGTTATTCCGGAATTATTATCAACTTCCTTATTTCAAATAGAACACCCTGTATTTTATTAAATCTTCAGATTCTTTGTGAAGAACTGATCTCATCGATTCATCACACATGGGATCTAGCAATAATGATTACTGAGATATAGGGTGTTCAAAATCAAGATTTTTCAATTTCAGAATTTCTTTGTGTCGAAACTATTCATTATCGGTCAGAACGGCTTTCATGTCTCTATCTCAACTTTTGATTTACTATCTATTGATGGTATTTAATGGAAACAGATACAGGGGGTGATCAGATTTCTGAATCTTGAGCCACCCTGTATTTATTTCAGTTAAATGTCGGTAGGTAGTAAATCAACAGTTGACGTAGGGATATGTAAGCCGTTTTGACCTATAATGAATAGTTTCGACACAATAAAATCCTAAAATTGAAAAATCTCGATTTTGAACACCCTATATCTCAGTAATCATTCTTGCTAGACCCCAAGTATGGAAATTCGATGAAATCAGATCTTCAGGAAGAATCTGAAAATTGCAAAATATACAGGGTGTTCTATTTGAAATAGGGAAGTTAACAATAATTCCGGAATAACTGAAAAAGTGGCAACATCGACGATAACAATTTCAAATACACCACGTTTTGAAATCATCCTGTACATATATTCAGAGAAATCTAACGAACGGTTACCGAGATATTTACCTGGCTCCCTACTTTTGCCCAACCCTGTATATCGCCAGTAACGAACTTAGCAAGATCTCCAAAGTAACTCACACCAAACTTTTGCCTTCTGTCACGGTGAAGTAGACAGGGCATTTGAAAGGTCAGAAGACGGTCAGAGTCTCGGAGGAGTCTCTCGCTCTCTCTCTAGGGTCAATTTGTTGAGATGCCACGAAACTTTCGTGGTCTTGGATTTTCAAGCAAAATTATGATTTTTTTCAATATGAAGGCCGATTAACACCTTTAGGCCTTTCTTGGGTATACCTACCGCTACTTTGGTAGAGTCGTGTCGTTGAGGAACATGACACCATAATAATGGTGAAAAAGATTTGAAATCCCATCATTTCAACCATTATTGCTATTGGTGCAATATACTATATATGTACACTCTTTGTTCCTGTTGAGATGTACGTCAATAGAAAATAATGTTCTAAGCCCACAATTCCACATGCTAAGGGTGTCATATGACAGTTCTTTCGGATTCAGTATTTTCCCGATGGATACTGAACCTGATGAGTTACAAATAACTCTCTGGAGATTTTTGGTAAAAGGTACGCAACACTTATAGGGATGACCTATTGTAAGTATAATTTTCACATAATTTCAGTCACCAACCTGATGAGAAGATGGACTTCAACTCTTGATTATATTTAGTACTATCAGTGGCGGCTCGTGACTTTCATGACAGAGGAGGCTGAATGATATGAGATTTATTGTGAAAAACAACTCTCTACCCACCCAAATCGATAGCTTTAATGACATTCTGTTCACCAGTTAACCTGAACTTAATACTTGAAGAGATGTGTTCCTGTGATTTATAGTGTCTATCTAATCTGCAGTACCAACAAAATAGCTTATTCCTAACCTAACATCCCGTCAGCCAGATATATTTTTTAAAATTATCAGAATTGGACGAACGATTTTGTTTGTTACGTGTTACAATCAGATTTTTCAATTCCGGTATCGGACGTTTGTCTTTCACAATCAATTTATCTTCATAAGACGAAGAACTGAATGGGTTCACCAAAAAGTATTCCACTAAATCGCAATCGTTCAGAACACTCATTTTTCAGAAATTTTGAGAGCCCCTTACCATCAACCTAACATAAACATAAACAATGCACTCGCGTTTGTCCGCAATTCGATCGCGAAGCGACACGACAAACACGTGCTATTCGTACGTATTCGGGCATTTGCATTGCGCGCGTAGGTTGCGCTGTGTGAAGGAGTCTAGCCTCCTATAGATGTTGCCAAGTTGATTATTTTACGCGTGATTTTCAGACTTCAACGTGTAATGCGTGGGCAAGCACTGTTGCCAATTCAAAAATATTCAACTAAAAACAGGAAATAGAATCAAAATCCATGTATTTTGGTGTCTTTTTGATGAGAAAGTATAGATAATATCAGTTTAAGGAAAATATCTGAGGAGGCTCAGCCTCTGTTGTCTCCTCTGAGGAGCCGCCACTGATTACTATACCTATTATATATTTATCACTGTCTTCCATTAAATACCTTTTCCTCTGTGAAAAACGGAGTATTAGCGCTGATAGTCCACTTCACAGGACTCGGTTATATTTTTCAAAATTCATATCACACCTTGCGGACCAAAAATATCCACCTTGTAATTCATTTCGAAGCCACAGTGAGGCTGAATCTGAGATTTGAGTAGCACTTATCTAAGTATCCATCAGTACTAACAGAGATCTGTAACATTCAGTAGAGAATTTCGAAAAATCCTCGCCTCATTAAACTGTTACAATTGCTGGCAAGTACAATAACGGTCTTATAGCCTTTCTGGGAATAAAAAATGCCGATTTATTGTCCTCTTCGCTTAATGTTGGTATATTTTCTACAAAAAGTTGATGAAGGCGATAAACAGTACATACAAGTGAAGCAAGATCCTGAATGATGTGACGATTCAACAAAATGTAATACTCACCTCTTCAATCCATAAACATACGACACTCCGATACACTCGAAGAAAGCGATGATCAGCAGCGGGTAAGTCCCGCAATAATTATCGAACAGCACGAATACATAGCTCCCTGCCCCGTGAGCAAACGCCATGGAGATGAGGCAGCACACCACGCAGATGGACCCGGTGAGAATCTCCTTGGGCAGGTTGGGGAAGAGCTTTAGGTCGACCACTGAAGTGACCACGCCTTCGAGAGTGCCGAACTGAGAGTCGATACCCAGCGTGAAGAGCATGAGGAAGAAGAGGATGGACCAGAATTGAGCACCAGGGAACTGATTGATGGCTTCGGTGAAGATGATGAAGGCTAGTCCGGTACCGGAAGCTGACTGAAACATAATATCATCTACAATAAAATGAATTGTATCATTTGTCAACACGATAGCGAACCGTGGGTGCTGAAGTAGGACTCTCCGTGGGTCACTACCATAACTTTCGAACCAAGATTTGGATTTCAACAGGGATTGAATTCTCAAAAATATCATTCAATTCTATCTATAGGAACAAGGCTGCTATTGCAGTTCATACATATCATGAGTATACAAATCGACAGGTGAAAGAATTTATCATTTGTGGAAATTTTTGAAACATTGGACACATTGAGCTGGTTTATTCTCACATGACTTGAACCTTGCGCATAAAATAGACGTGGCCCACTGGACGATATTCCACATGACTGCAGTTGCAGTTCTGTTCGCGAACGTGTTAAGATCATTTTGCTTGTTATTTCATGAGTGAAACAATAATTTTACGTCCCTTATTTTCATTTGGAGTTTTTTTTGTTATGCAACTCACGAAATATCAAAGAACTCAGATTATCAAATGAGCTTTGCAACGACAGTCATGATCATCTTATGGTTAGATGGTTAGCGATATTTACTCATGAGTTGAGGTTTACATTGAATGTTTCCTGATTCTTCGATTCAAATTGAAAGTTAGTGCCTATCAGGAGTTTGGCTGAAGTTGTGTGTTGAGTGATACCTACTCATTGCTGAATATGAGGATATCATGACATCTAAGACCAGCCTGATGCTGGTATAAGGCTTTCATTCCATATCTCATCAAACTCCCCATGAGGAAGAGAAATACAAATTCAAAAATACAGCATGTATAGGTATCAAGCATCTGGAAACCAAACGAATAAAGATACATGGCAAACTCTTGTTGTGACGAGCAAGAAGAGTCCGAAGTGTTCTCATTTTATGAAGAAATTTTTCGGGATGTTTCCTGGAGATAAGAGCGTATAGGTGAATGTGTCCTCACTATGTAAAGTTGCTACAGAATCTGATGGGAGATGAAATTCAAAGCGCCGTATTATGTTTGGAAAATAATTTCAAGGCGAAATGAGATGGAATCAAGAATTGAACGTGATGACGCATACAGAAATAAGTTGTTGTCCACAAAAAATCAGATACTGATGAAATTCATCATAAAACGCAGTGAATCAACGAGTATTAGACCGCACACGACGCAAATAAACCCAGCGAGGATCTCCTTGGGTTGGAGAAGAGATTGGGGTCGATTATTGAGGTGACCACGCCTTCCAGAGTGCCGAACTGGGAGTCGATGCCCAGCGTGAAGATCATGAGGAAGTAAAGGATTGACCAGAACTGGGAACCAGGGAACTGCTTGATGATGAAAGCTTTTTTTGGTATCGGAACGAAACATGAGGGTTTTATAAACATTGAATGAATCTAATCATCCAATGATGATCATTCATCTATGGATATACTGACCAAGGAAGTTTCATGAGGAACGTGCTATTCTGATATGAACTGTTGTATGAAAATATTGGATTTTAGGGTTTCGATGTGAGTCTGGTCCTGGCCTACTCTTGACTTGACAAGAGCTTGTTAATATGGTCATTATAATGCAAGTTGTTATTTGGTTATATCTATTGTTGTTTAATTATAATTTATATTCATCATCACTACCCATAATGTTTCATGCTTCGATAAATATCATCATATCCGCATATATTATGGTGTTATAGTGCTTATCTAGATATCACCTCTCGCAGACCATCAAGCCAAGCAAACCCCCTTATACAGGGTGTTTCAGATTTAAATGTACATACGATACCTGAAGATAGAGGACACTTCGGTGGTTCCAAATCACCCCCCATCGATATGTCTACCGTCTTTTATAACTGAGATACAGGACGTTATCTTGATTTTGGCAAAATCTTCATCTGGTTATAACTTTTGATCCACTTTGTATAATTTATACATACTTGGTAGAAATATTCCACTTATATTACTCATCAAAACCATATAAAAATCCGGATCAGAATCCAGGTCCGTCTTGAGGAAAAACAGAAAACTTCTTTTATCTCAAAAACAACACCTTGTATGGCAAAATTTTGTAGGTCTGTTTTGATATTTGGAAAGAGCGGGAAAAAATGGAATAAGTGACCTACTTTTTACGAGTGCGCATCTAATTTGACAGATGGTTTATTATCAAGTTTTGAAATATTCAGCTCCATTTCGAGGCATTTTTATTGAACTTATAATTCAAAATTTAATTTTAATACAAAAAAATAACAGTCTTCAGAGTTCAACATCATTAGAGTCAAATTAGGTGAACTATCGATAGATTTGTTGTGACAGAATCACTTGTCTATGGTATAATACATTTTTGAGGGCTCATTCCATTCTCCACTATTAATTCACGAGCTGCGGTTAAGTAGGCTGTGCAAAAAAATCTGATATTCTGACAGGTCATAATCACTAGTCTGATATTATTGGTAATGTTGAGATAATTATTTCTGGTGCTTATATTGGGTTGTTACTTTCCAAAGTGTTCATAATTGTGCCTACAAAAACTTTACCAATAATATCGCAACTATAGTGATTATGAACTGTCCGAATTTCCATTTTTTCTTCACAGCCTACTTTACCGCAGCTTATGAATAAATAGTAAAGTATAAAATTAGTCCTCGAAAGTTTTTAAAATCATCGACAAATTATTCTGTCAAACAAACAAATTTATCGATAGTTCACCTAATTTGACTCTAATGAGGTTGAACTCTGAAGACTGTTATTTTTCTGTATAAAAATTTGGTTTTGAATTATGAGTTCAATGAAAATGCCTCGAAATGGAGCTGAATATTTCAAAACATGATAATAAACCATTTTTCAAATTGGCTGCGCACTCGTGAGAAGTAGGTCACTTCATTCATTTTTTTCCGCTCTTTCCAAATATCAAAACCGATCAATAAAATTTTGCCATACAGAGTGTTGTTTTTGAGATAAAAGAAGTTTTCTGTTTTTCCTCAAGACGGACCTGGATTTTAATCCGGATTTTCATTTGGTTTTGATGGGTGATATAAGTGTACTATTTCTACCAAGTATGGATGGATTATACAAAGTGGTTCAGAAGTTATAACCAGATGAAGATTTTGCCAATATCGAGATAACGTCCTGTATCTCAGTTATCAAAGACGGTAGACATATCGATGGGGAGTGATTTGGAACCACCGAAGTGTCCTCTTTCTACAGGTATCGTATGTACATTTAAGTCTGAAACACCCTGTATATAGATATAAGAATAATCACCTGATATCGCGACAATATTACTTCACTTCGATTTTGTGATTATTATGGCTTTCCTGAAGCAACAAAGTTTATTACGATCATTATGAACTGATAGCGTAGTGTATCGATGTATAAGCTGATTGGTATAAGACAACATCAATTATACTCATTAATGCTCAATTAGCAAGTAAAATAATTGCACGTTTTCCTAATGGAGAATTGAGTAAAATCTGCATTGATAGTTCCATAATTCCATAATGCTACTATTCCACAATAGGTATATCGGTTTTTCAATTTAACTATTTAACTGTATTGTTACTCCACCATATTTCTTGAATTATCAGAGCTTCGTTCACACACGATGATTGTTATCAGAAATAGCAATAAAATCAAAATACCCAATTTACTAACCTTGTCTAATTCTGTTTCCAAATCACAAAAAGGCAATGTTGGCATCAGCTTGCTGACCAGTTCTTTTCCGTTAGGAACTCTGATGAGGGATCCAGCAATAGGTAAGCTGCTCTCATTATAATCGCCCCCAAACAATTCGAACAAAGTGGCATTCCTGCTATCTAGACATTTTTCGTACGTCATTGTTGCTTTGAATCCGATGATCGAAAAAACAACTATCCCTGAAAATCAAAACATCGACATCAGTACAGTTTCATGGCATAACAAACTACAATTGAACATAAACTTCAATCGTCTTCAACATCATTCTGTCACCATGATTCATCAATTGAATGAAGCCTCAGAGGAAAAATACTGGAGATGTGATATCATTCGAATATTCGATAGGGGGCAGTTATCAGAACAATGCCTGCAGAATGATAATCAATATGCTTCAAAGCATAACTCCATCAAAATGCGGGGAGGACAAGCCGCGGCTGCTCGGCAGATCGAGCATTTTGTAGACGTCTTTGTTCTGATCACTCAGATGTGACACCTTTCTTGGATATAAATGTCGTGGACATATGTCGTGGACATATGTAGTGGACATATGTGTCCGACGATGAGGCAACTTGTCAACATCTGCTCATGTGGCCGCGGATTGATGAACCAGGCTCTGGCAACCTGATCCACCTTGTGGGAACCCATGACGCGGGCTGAATGGCACCGAGATTATATGGTGTCGATGGAAAATACTCTGGAAAAGAGGGTGGCATCTCAGATGAAGCCTTAGCTTAGATGGGCAACATAGAGACTCCATCAAGCGGCCATTAGTCTACCGCAAGCAGTGGTCATGAAAAGCAGAAAAATCCTGGAGGGAATAATCCCAAATAACATCATCAGTTTTATTGTTAGCTACAGGAGGTTGTTACAGCCTATTATGAAATGCCTTTTTGAAACTATTATACTTCAATGATATCATTAAAACAATTAAACAACCTTCTCAAAACATAAAGGGCCCACCTTTATAAATGCTGTCACAGCTTCTCTTAAAGCTTGTCATAAAACTAATAGGAATTTATTGTAGTATGCCTCAAAGCAATAATGAAACCTATCAAAACTACTTCATTCAAAGCCTTTTAGCACGAGATCAAACCTGTATGTTTAAAAACGACATTTCTACTGCCAACATTAAAACTTATTGGCTAGAATTAAAACCTTATCTGTCGCAGTAAGCAGTTGTTAAGATAATATAGTCCGTAACGTGTTTTATGATAGTCTTTTTTTAGAACTAATTATGATACAAACATGTCAAAATGGAGAGAGAACAATAGATAGTTATAAAAGAGATTGAACATGGCGGTATGATATGATAATTCCCCACTGTATCAAATAGTCCTTTTTGTGAGGATTGAGGCTGTAAAATGAAAACGATGGCGATTTTTTTGAAGAAAACATACCAGATATGCTTCAAAAAAAGCAGCGCCCTAGAAATAATGTGTTTTCACCAGTTAGAATTGGATGTGAATTTCAATAACTCTGATTTACTGTTTCTCTCACGACTTGATTTTTGATTCTTAAAAGTAATTCTTCTCATTTTTTCGCTTAGTGTTGCCATTTTTCTTGATTTCACACTATTTATTTTCTTGTGAGTCCATTTCAACGTGCGTCGTTTGTAGGCAAAAAAAATACGAACATCTATATTATGGGATTTGGGTTCAACACGGTTCTAAATAAAACTTTATAAATCCTATAGATTTCATGATTGACTTCGATGAGTTCATTGTGGCTCATAGGTTTTGATAATTACTTTCACATAGCTAGAATAATGCCAATAGGTTTCATTATTGCCTCAGTCAAATCCTAATTGGCCTAGTGTAAATTTGGTATTATGATTGCTTCATGACGTATTTTCATAGGATTAGTTCAGAACCTCTTGGTCAAATTCAAGACACTAATAAAACTTGAGAGTTTCAAGAGGGTTGTTAAGAGTGAATAGTTTTGATGAAGAATTTCAATGACTCTCACGGAGCTCTCTTAAAACCGAGGTGAGCTGAATGCCAAATTGTTTTATGCGATAGTTCTATCATAGTATCTCAAAGCCTTTTAATAGGATTATATGGACATAAAGGCCAATATGCTTTTTCCAGGGCATTCATAAAACAGTAGAACAAATTATACCTATCATTTGCGCTCACATAACCTCTTCAAAGTCTCATCGAAGCTATTAGGCATTTAAAATGTTACTTGGGAATAGCTTTAACATCCTGAGAATGTCCTCAGACATCATGCCTAAAACCACCAATCTTCACACGTCCTATACTGTGGTCTTTCTTGAAAAAGAAGAATGGGTTCGGAATGGAATCAACCCATGAAGGGCAAATGAATGTTGGTATATCGATGGCTCCGAAACTTCGGAAGGCGTCGGAGCCAAATGAAGCCAGTAATGAAACGCTCATTCGGTATGGGTGAACAAGCTACGGCATCCCAGGTGGAGGTATACGCTATTGAAATGTGTGCAAGGGAGCTGGAAAATCGACATCACACACGAAGAAGAATGAAGATATTCTCAGATAGTCAAGCAGCACTGAAAGCACTTGAATCCAACTGCTTTGAATCCAGAGCAGAATGGAATTGCAGAGAAACCTTAAAACGACTGGCACAACGCAATAACGTTAACCTAGTCTGGATACCCAGGTCACACGGGCCTAGAAGGAAACGGAATGGCGGACGTCTCAGCAAAAGGAGGGGCTGAAAGATCGTTCACCGGGCCAGAACCAGTAATCGGTATAGCACATAGCACTGCCAAAAATGTTATAACATCCTGGGACGACAAAAAAGGACTCGAGTATTGGCGTAGTCTACCGGGCCTAGCCCATTCCAAAGCATTCATTACTTGTACAAGAAACAATCAGGACTCTGAAGAACTATTAGAACTCACACTGTAGAGCACATCTCAGAGTTGAAGTAGGTTTGCTCAGTAGTCACTGCATACTCAAACACTACATCATGCACAAAATCGGGCTTGCACAAGATGCAGAGTGCCGTCTATGCATGGAGGAGGATGAAACGGCTAAACACATTTTATGTACAGTGTGTCCAGTTTTCGATGCTTTTGTGCGATATCTCAGGGTGGCCAGGTAGCCGTGCGGACAGAGTGTCTATATTCTAATTCGCATTCGCTTGCCGGTCGTGGGTTCGATCCCCGTCGACTGCAGAAATTTTTCTGATGGCCCAAGAAAGTGTTTGGGATCACACGTTAAAAGGTAAGGCCCCCGTCATTCCTTGCTCGCACAAGACTTTCGAAGACTTTTGAGGGTTGCTCGTAAGGGGGCAACCGAATGACGGATAGAACAAATTTTAGAACAAATTTTTTTTAGTTGTCTTTGAAGATAGAGAGTTGCGGTTTTCACATTACTGCCTTACTTTTTTGTGAAACGGACAATGCCGCAAACAGAATTGTCACAGCTCTCCATGTTCTTGAGATACAGGGAGAAATTGAAAAGTCTCACTTTTTGAGCACCTCCCGTATCTTGGTTAGTATCCAACTTATTGGCAAGGTGAGAACGGAACCTTGTATAACTTTCCACGCATAATACAGTGGCGTACTCATTCTGTTTCCGTAATGGCCCATTTTCAGAAATTGAACCCAATATTTTCTTTTTCAAATGGGACACCCTGAATATTTCTTTACAATTCGATTAAGATTTCTTTTGGCTTTCCGAAAATATATAATAGTTGACATTTTTCTATATTATCGATGTTTTAATTCAGAGATATTCTTTCACTATGCGTTTTCGCAACTAGGCCGTTGTGACTCAGTAGAAAACACAGTTGTTTATAGCTGTCAATAGATGTTGACATGAACGCTCATCAAGTTTTCATGCTATACTGTGTTTTCGAATGGAACATACATATAGAGTTCAATTCAGATTTTCGAAAGCTCTCCGGAAATAATTAATAGTCACACACTGTCTTTATTATTAATACTTTAATTCAAAATTTTACTATCAACATGTTCAAGTCTTTTCCAATTATCATCAATATTGTTCAAAATGATTACCGTTTTCGCTTATAGCAATTTCACAAACTTTTCTGATTCTTTTAAGAGCATTTTGAAGTATAAATGAACGGTCCCGCAAATATCGGAAAGCAGAATGCGTGGCTGCTCTTGAGTTCTTCCATTAAACGATGTTGTTGTAAATCTTAGAGTCTTTCAGAAAACCCCATGAAAAGAAATCTAAAACTGATAGATCTGGTGATCTTGGAGGCCATCTTATAGGTCCATTAGTGGCTATTCATTATCCATCGTTGAAGAAAATTAATTTCTAGAAATTGTCCTTTTATTTGAGAATTGTGGGCAGGCGCTCTGTGTCTTGTTGAAAATATATATTATTCAACTGCGCCAGAGGGATATTTATTGTCCAGCAGCTCTGGCAAAACATCTCGTAGAATTTCTAGGTAACGGTTTGCAGTGAGACCTCCTTCATAAATCCGATATACAATATTTCTACCCAAAATGAAACAAGCCACGCTGAAGCCAAACCGTACTTGCTGTTCTCGTTCAAATATAACATGGTGATTTTCTTGAGACCAATGCTGGTGTTTTGGCGATTGAAGATGCCGGCACTCGAAACATATGATTCATCACACCATATTACTGATTGGGAATAGTCAATATTTATTCGAATCCGTTCAATATACCAATTACAAAAAAATAATCGACGAATAACTCGACATGAACTTGAAGGCGCTGCTCCTACGAAAGCTAAAACGTTAATTTCGTCCGTTTCACGATTTCCTTTGTGATAGAGTTTTGGTGGAGGCTGTTTGAAAGCTTCATACTCTGATAAATTTGTCTTCATCCGGGAAAAAGTATCAGAAGAAGGCTACCTCCTTTCCGGATACCTATATCAAATATTATAATATATATGGATATATAACTTCATGAGCACAAATACGTTATGTTAACATACCTTTCGAAGTATAATTCTGAAGCATTATGTGAGTTTTCATTGCATTAAATGAAGCAAACTGACATATCATATTTTTCATAATTTTGATACAGTGCTGCCATCGTTTGAATGGCAGAAAAATACGGAAATTACAAATTCACGAGTGTGAAACTCTTGAAAACACAGTATAGCATGAAAACTTGATGAGCGTTCATGTCAAAAACTATTGACAGCTATAAACAACTTTGTTTTCTACTGAGTCACCACGGCCAACTTGCGAAAACGCATTGTAAAAGAATATTTTTGAATTAAAACAACAATAATATAGAAAAATATCAACTATTATATATTTTCGGAAAGCCAGAAAAAATCTGAATCGAAATGTAGAGGAATATACAGGGTGTCCCATTTGAAAAATAAAATGTTGGCTTCAATTTCTGATAATGAGCCATTACGGAAACAGAATGAGTACGTCACTGTATTATGCGTGAAAATTTATACAAGGTCCCGTTCTCACCTTGCCAATAAGTTGGATACTAACCAAGATACGGAAGGTGCTCAAAAAGTGAGAATTTTCAATTTCGCCCTGTATCTCAAGAACATGGAGAGCTATGACAATTCTGTTTGCGGCATTGTCCGTTTCACAAAAGAGTAAGAGAGTGATGCGGAAACCGCAACTCTCTATCTCCAAAGACAACTGAGATATCGCACAAAAGCATCGAAAACTGGACACACTGTACATGCCCTGATGAATTGTTCTCTCCCAACGTACTCCTTGATTTCGCCAAGATATATTAGATATATTGGGAGAAATATAACTATAGGGTGAGCCACAATAGGCCATTGGCCGCCGTAGTGGAGGGCATGAGATGGGCCCACTCACGTTCAAACCTAACTTAGCCCTGTTAGGGAGGCACCACAGGACTGGACCAACACCTTTTCCGCATCTCTCGTTTGGCCTTCTTCGTGGACGAGATCTGGCTGGAAATTGTAGTCTTCAGGAACCTGACCAGAAAGGGACTTTCAATCGAACCTCTGGAACCGCGAGCGGTGGAGCTTACAGTTACTGTGTTAGTATTTGGAGTAGCCCCTATATAAAAAACATTTGTCATATATTGTCAAGCATGTGGTGAAATCCCATAATATGATTGATTTCACGAACCAAATTGAAAAACAATCATCAATACTTAGTATAATTTTCAATCAGAACGAAAGATATTATGCAGGGTATAACATGAAGTTATAGTCATGTTGTAGCCATCTAGCGGCAAAGCTCTATGGTAGGATACAGAGATCGCGACACACACTGTATGGCGCTTCCATCTATAGTCACACGTACAGAGACCCCTACGTCTATACGCTACAGACTGGTACTACAAGTTAACCACTCTGCTGACAGATAACACTACATGTCATACTAGAGCGGAATTTTTCCACTACTTATTCAACTGCTAGGTCTCTTAACTAAGAGATCAAGGGCAAACAGAGTTGCCTCAATTGTCAGCAGGAGCGTGACAGTACTGTTTCGACCCACCAGGTATCATCAGCCGCTCTAAGTCTGCTCACAACAGGGACAACTCTACGCTTCGGGTATATCACCCATTCCGGAGAAGCAGGGTATAACATGAAGTTATAGTCATGTTGTAGCCATCTAGTGGCAAAGCTCTAAAGTAGGATACAGAGATACTTAGATATACTCAGATACTCAGTTAGATGGCTGACAGGGTGTCAGAAGTACGAAGAACATCAAGGTTTATATTAATTCATTCGGAACCACTGGAAACAAAAATTAAACTTGATATAGCATTCCAGGTTGATCAGTGCAGTCAAGTAGAGTCTCCATTTTAGAAGTTTGATTTTCAGTGGCAAAGTTACGGTCGTATGTCGCCACATGTTCTTTTCGTTCTTTGACAGATTGAATGTCAAATAATTGGTGTATCAGTAATTGTGAATATTCATATTCAACCTGAAAGTAATATCATTCCACATGCCTAAATGTATAGGTATCCTAGATAATTGCGAAAAACTGAGAAAATTCTTTAAAAGTTATGATATTCAATTTTGTTCACATATTCAATAAATAATATCTCTAAAAGGTTGCACTGAAAGACCGAACTCAATATGAACTGTTCACCTTGAGACAACGTGTAGAATAAAAATTGAGTTTGTCGACCTAATTCTGACTCACCCGTACTATGTTTCCAGTGTTCTGAAGATTCGAGAATATTCAAGAAGTTGAGAATTTTTCTGATATCTTGTGGAAAATCAGCGGTATGCGATTATGGCACGCAACCAACTGATTTTTTACTCAATAATACCTCAAGACATATCCTTAGAATTTCGAAAATATCTCAGGAACACAACAATTTGATATTTCATCTCCCCAAGAAAACAAATGGAGGAGAATGTGGCGACATATACGCTCATAGCTACGCTACTGGTAATCAAAATTCAAAGATAAAAAATCTACTACTACACTAATCAATATGTTGGATATTGTGTTAGGATTAATTACCTTCACGGGTTCCGTAAAAATTAATGTAAACCTCGATTGTTTCCGTACTTCTGACACTCTGTATCTTAGAAATAATGCATTCTATGACATACGTTGATGGGCACTTTCCTCTTCAAAATGAGGTATGGAATCCGTATGCGAAGTTTCACTTTGAATCATCTTGTATAGAGATGCCAAAAGTACTTACCATGAAGGAAATGGTCCTTCGTGGTGTCCATAAAGGATTCCGACCGAAATTTCGTATGTTTTTGTCGTGTAACTCACCTGCGAACATGGACGTGAAGCAATTAGTGAGAGACACCATAATCGCATCCCGATAGCAGTTATTATTAACTGGATTGTAAGACGAGAAGGCTATCAGCCCTCCAAAGGCCAACCCCAACGAAAAGAAGATCTGCGTGCCGGCCTCCAGCCACACGACCGGATCCAGAATGGTGTGCCACGTTGGGGTGAAAAGATGCCTCAAACCTGTAAGGGAATATACATATATAGTCACTAGCATTTTCATGATCATCAAGAAAATTAACTTTCAGGTTGGGCCATCGAAGTTGATTTACACAGTCGTTTCAAGGGATGCCCTAGTGCTGAGCTTTCTAGCATTCATAGGAGAAACTTGCAATTTCGGACCTGCTCCTCTTTTCTTGCAGTTTACTTTTGATTTAAACTGGCTGGTAATTCAGTTCCTCGATCGTCTGCTGATCGATGTCATGAAAACAACAAAATTTTTGAGAGAACTAAGTAAATTTAAGTGTTGAAATGTATGAAAATAGTCTGAAGGGTCGTGTAAGAAAGCTACTTCAAATAGGTTCAATCATTCATTCGAATATCGAATCAATCCTGAGCTGATTGAAATTACATCGCCCATTTATTTCAATTTTCATTGAAATCGAGAGCCGAACTGAAATAATAGTTCACAACCCTCTTGTAACGGTAGATAACCAAATAGTTTGATTTATGGACCTACTTCCTATCCCTTCTCTATTAAGTAACGTAATTCATTGCAAAGTTTCAAGTGATGATTTGAATTAGATTGGTAGGTAATCAAAATTGACAATGACTTTGCATGAACACAAAATTATGGATTATTTGAAACTCTGGCGTGGAATAGAAACAAAATTGATGAAAAATGTATATGTTTCACATGGCAGGAAAGCAGATTAAATGCAGCAGATGGCGATCCATGGCCAAGGCGTAGCCGAGGCTAGGTAACGTCTTGTGCTTTTCTGCCTATTGGAATAGAAGGGTTTCCTTATCGTTCAAATATAAATCGTTGTTATTGAAAATCTTGCAAGCAATGTCCAGATTGTTGCTTTCTTGTTTCAATAGTAGATTCTTTAATTATGATCAAAAGTGACACTTAGTGTTACAAGCGAACTCTGCATTTGCGAGGCCGAGCGTCTAGCGGAGCCGAGCGAAAGCAAAATTTGCGAGTCGAACAAAGTAACTTTTGATCCGATTGAAACATGCTATTTTTTCTGCAACCGAAAGAATTAACCAAACTAAATATGTGAAGTAACCACCAATGTGACTCACTTGACAAATTATTATAATACCTCCATTATAATGATATGAGTGAGAAAATATAAGCATTTCAATTTCCAATTAAGTGTGTTCGAATTGTAGTTTCAATTTCCAATCAAGTATGTTCGAATTGTAGTTTCAATATGACTACAGCCACAGAGTGACTCATTCGTGTTTTCTATCGAATCGATGAATCGATGAATTTATTTGGACCAGGTGTCAGCCATAATAGCAAATATCGTGTCAGTGCGAGGAATAGGAAAAAGAAGTAGAGAATGTTAGGTTAGTGAGCATATCAACATAGCAACGATAATAATACGATTAATCATTTCTCCCTATATTGGATCGATTATCAAATTAATGTGTACAATATCGTTGCGTGAGGAAAAATATCATTGCAGGCCGTGATCATTCAAGAACAAGTTATCCAATCAACTTCTTCATACCAAAATTTTATTTCTGACTAGAAGATAGTTTTTCAATAAACAATAAACAGAACAATAAAAAAAATCAAGCAAGAATGTTAATCTTGAAGGCTTTCCTGATCAAAACAAAAATACTCAACTATATAATATTGTATATGTATATCTCCAGCATGTATATGAAATGTTCAAATGCCGAACCTGTCGAAATTGGAAACAAAGTCAGGTATGCGTTCCAACCCGAATAACCAACTGTAACAATGTTGTTTTTCTGCAACCGACACAAAAGTCGTCCATTTTAATACAAAAATCAGCTCTTGAATTGACGTTTCTATTACTGACACAAAAATAGGTATGTTGCTAGGCAACATATTTAGTTCCTAGGAGCTGAAGTTGAATTTTAGTTCCTAGTAGCTGAAGTTGAACTTTAGCTCCCAGGAACTGAAAAAGATCTACTGGACGTCATCAAGAATAAACAACATTGTGACGGTTGGTTATTTGGGTTGAGACGCATACCTGATTTGTTTCCGATTTCAGCAGATTCGGCATTTCATACCCATGCTGGAGATATAAATACACCTTATTATAGTTTAGTATTGGAATTATAAACATCTCAGTTGAGTATTTTTGTTTTGATCAGGGAAGCCTTCAAGATTCAAATACTTGCTTGATCTGTATTTCATTTGTTGTTCTCGGGATGGATAACTTATTTTTGAATAATCACGGCAAGCAATAGTTTTTTTGTCTCAAACAACGATATTGTTGAGCTTCATTTGATTATCAAGTCAAACAAAGTGTAGTATGGAGGGGAATAAATAATCACTATTATCATTGTCGATATGCTCACTAATATTTTCCACGTCTTGTTCCTATAGCTGGCACTGGCGCGGTATTTGCCATTAGAGCACCTGGTCCATACACAAATATGTCACTCTGTGGTTGTATTCATATTGAAACTACAATTCGAACATCCTAGAAAACCTAACCTGCTGTTAATGCAGGTAGAATATTCTCACCACATGGATTATTTGTCAATATTTGTTGCATTGCATACATATGGCACGGCATTGGTGGTTACTTCACATGTTTATTTGAGTTAATTGTTTTGGTTGCAGAAAAAATAGCATGTTTCATTCAGATCAAAAGTGACTTTGTTCGACTCGCAAATTTTGCTTTCGCTCGGCTTCGCTAAACGCTCCGCCTCGCAAATGCAAATTTCGCTTGTCAAACAAAGTGTCATTTTTGATTCTAATAAAACAATCTACTATTATTCTTGATGACCTAGTCCTCTTTTAGGTCCTAGAAGATAAAGTTTAGCTGAAGCTGCGCTCAAAGTGTTGCCTAGCAACATACCTATGTTTGTGTCAGTAATAGAAACGTCATTTCAAGAGCAAATCTTGGTATTAGAATGAACGACTCTTGTGTCGGTTGCAGAAAAAAATTAATAATTTTTATGATCTCTGATGGAAGTCCATGTTTGCTTAAAGTGGAGTGAAATTTCTCAGAAGGAAAAAGGAAAGCTCAAAATCATTTTCACTTCTTTATTACTGATGTGAATCAATCAATAGAAAAACACGGGGAATCTCTAGCTGTCGCGTTGGACATATCGAAAGCATTCGACCGTGTTTGGCACGAAGGACTCCTCCACAAACTACCATCATACGGCTTACCACCTCAGCTATGCCATCTCTTATCGAGTTTTCTTTCAGGCAGATCGCTTCACGTGGTGGTGGACGGTGTATCGTCTGATACCATTGGCATCAATTCCGGCGTTCCACAAGGATCAATTTTGGCATCAACATTATTCATGCTCCATATCAATGATCTGTTGGGAGTAACAACTTGCTTCATCCACAGCTTTGCAGATGATAGTACCCTCCATACTGCGTTTTCTTCCAGAATACCCATTTCTTCCCAGGAAACTAAGAACTCACGGCGCAGGCAGGTCAATGCTGTCAATGAAGATCTTGCTGAAATCACAGCCTGGGGAACAAACAACCTAGTTGAATTCAACACCACCAAAACCCAAGCCTGCATTTTCTCTAGAAAGGCGGAACTCAGTATGCCCGATATTGTAATGTCTGGCTCCACCATCCCCACCAAGCCCACCATATCTATGCTCGGTATTTCCATCAGCAACACTATTTCATGGGATAATCATGTCAGATCCATCGCAAAAGCTGCTTCACAAAAACTTGGATTCTTGTTCCTTGCGAAAAGCTACTTTACACCTCAACAGCTTCTCATGATCTACAAAGCGCAGATACGGCCTGTTCTGGAATACTGTTTCCACATATGGGGTTCAGCACCAAAACATACGCTGATGCTCTTAGATTCCATCCTGAGAAGAGCCATTCGCCTGGTGGGTGACGCCACACTCATTCACTCTTTGACATCATTGGAACACCGTAGAAAGGTCAGCGACCTTTCGCTTTTCTATCAATAGTCAGCACATCCTTTCGTTGTCAACCTCGAAAGATGTCGAACAGCACTTTATCAAGACTTCTTCATCCATAGAACGGCTAGGCTCTGGAATTCATTGCCTGTGGAACTATTCCCAACAACATATAATCTCCAAAAGTTCAAAAAAAATTCCAATACCTACCTCCTGTCCCTATCCTCCCTAGGAACGCACGATGTTCTTTGAACATTATAGGGATTCCCTTTCGTGCGCTTCAAGCGATAAAAAAAATAAAAAATCAAGGGGATATGTTTCGGGCTTTTATAAGTCTTTTATTATGAGTTCGAAACATGTCCCCTTGATTAGTTTACATCATCAGTGATATAGTTGTGGAGATGACTTTGAGCTTCTCTTCTACCTCCTGAATGATTCATTTCTCAATGACTCAAAGAGCAAAGGGCAAATAGAACCTATATAAAATCATCACAAACCGTCCCCTGCTCCTTTGAGGGTAATTCCACGGAAAAAGAAGACGATCAGCACCAAGTAGGGAAAAGTGGCCGTGACATAGACAACCTTGCCTGAGGAGGCAATGCCCTTGATCATGCAGAGGTAGACGAGGATCCAGGCGATGAAGAGGGCGAGGGCTATCTTCCAGTTGAAGGTTTGCGGGGTGTTGATGTCCTCGGAGATCATGAGGGTGGTGCGGTACCAGAAGTACTGCGTCGGACTGCTCACCTGGGAGAAGAAGATGAAGAAGGCATTTATTGAAACGAAAAACCATTATGGAACATGGAAGATTATACGAACAATATGACTTTCATGGAATTCATAATCACACGACATGTTTCCACAACAGAGTAGCTTCTTACTCGTACAAGAAACTCTAAACTAAGCTACAGTATATTGTGTAACGAGCACGTTTTTTACGACAGGAGTTCGTCATACGAGGGAAAAACTATCATTTCTTGCAAGTCATACACTATACTTCATCTACGGCTGTGACGGATAACACCGAAATCCATGATTTTTTCGTTTTGTAGCAACCTAATTTTCTCTAGAGTAATATGGCCATCAGACCGACCTGTCATTGCTTGAAATTTGACACTTCATGGGAGATGAGATTTTGTGAATTGATAACATAATGAAGTCAAAGTGATATAAAACACGGAGATGAAATTATTGATTTATACAAAGTACCTCGTTGATTTTTCAAATACAGTGAAACAAGAGCAATTTTGTGTTATAGACATAGAAATAACAATTTATTCCACGAGTATCTTACCTGAAAAAGATGCTGTGTATATCATAAAAACATTATCGTTCATGGAGTTTTTTACATATACTATGGATTTTCATCAAGTGATGGCCGAGTCAATTCAGAATCGAAAATTATTATTTTTAGCTACTCCAAATCCGCACAAATTCATTGATTTGGTATAGCAAGTATCCCAGAGCTCTAAGGACAGCATATCTGGGTTTACAAGGACACAAAAAATTGTGAAAATCATGAAATTCATGGACGCAAGACTATGGTAGAATCGAATCATACTTGTGGCATACAATCTTCAAGAAATCACCCCTCACTTTGATTTTTCAAATGGCACCTACATGTTTTTTTTGTTCATCTCTGAGAACTTCTCATTCTCAATTCGCCTAAGTACACTTCACGATCGATATAGCATTATGTCAATATTATGAACGAATAAATGATGTTGCAGGCTTGTTATCTGTTACAGCCAGTTATTCCTTGGAAAGTCAGAACCAACCACACATGAAGTCTGAATAGGCGAGATTTGGTGAGTATAGAAAGTGATAACAGTCTTTCAATCAATCCTTCAGGGAAACATCGATATTTTCTGATATATATCTGAAAAAACATAGGGGAGCAAGTTGGAATACTGAAGTATATTCCACAATTTTTGGATTCATTTTTTTTTATTTGACGGGAAAAAAGGTTGGCATTTCATCTCTGTTGGCAGGTTATAAAATGTCACTTTTCATACATTACTTTTTTCCCGTGGGAAAATCAGAATTAGACTGACAGAAGTGACATCAGATATTTGATTACTTCATAAGTATGATAAAGATGCCTACAACGCAGGTGTCCCTACTGTTAAAAACTCAAAATTTCAAAAAATATTAGATTTTAGCTCACGGTTTTTTGTCTCCCTCTGCTACGCGTCGGGAGACAACACAACCTGGAGCTAAAATCTAGAACTTTTTTCCCTTGTATGATAAATAACTATTTAGGTCAGATAACCCAGATATCTGAAAACCTGAAATCTCTAACACACCCGGTATTGTTACAATTCAAAGGATGAAAGAAAGCTCAACATCATCTCCACACAAATACCACTCACCGGCAGAGAACGGCCACATAATAATTACCCGAATTGATAACTTTTTTCTTGTCCGATTATGGTGGAATTTCGACCAAATCATAGATTTATATTTCGGAATATTATATGTGAGCCTGAATTCTAATTCACAGGAAGAGCTCATAGCTTGACCATTCCACAGTAAAAATCAAAAAAATCTTCTTCATCCTATTGACGCCCTATTGCAAAAATGATTGCACGGTTAAACTCAGTTTCATTATGTTTTATATCTTAGTGTGATTGCTCCTGTACACACTCAAGTCAATATAAACCCTTTTATAGAATATACAAGTTCTTTGAGAAAGAATGGAGTTTTATTCATAATTCATGATTTTATCGATGAAAAACTTGAGAAAAGCTTCTGAAAATCAATTTCACTCATACTCCCTCTGCTACCTAGGCTCTCACTTAATTATGAGAATAGTACTTCAAAAACTTAAGGAACACTCTTTCATAGATTATACCAAACGAAAAAGAAGTGGAGAATGAAATAATGAAACTGTGTTGATGAACACAACAAAGAACATACACTGGGTCCCACTTACCATGCTCACCATGGGTATCTTTTTAACGGTGAGAGATACGAGGTCGATTAAATGACAACAAATGTGGAGTTTGTCAAGGCCAACTATGATGCGAAAAAATATTTCGATATAATCTATTGGTTTTTGTTTTATACGCAAAAAACAGATTTTGATCATTTTCATGTCTCCTCCGTAACTTCTTTATTTATGAAAATATTCAAATAGGAATTCCACATTCTCATGGCAGTTTTTCAAAGTGATTTAGAAAAAAATATGAAATCTATACCAACTCTTCTTGAATTTGAGATATCAGCACCAACTTTAGTTTTTCAAATGTAGGTCATAGCTCACTATGACTTAGTTACGAATAACTTTTTTTTCTCTTACAGATGATATGGCGCAGTAATGGTTTTGTGTTGATAACAACGGAGTAAACGTCATTTATACAAAAATGTATTGTGGACAAGATTTGAGCCGATTCCATTCAAAATTGATAAGTGAGGGTTTTTGAGGTCGGAGATCATGATTTTTTTGTTAAAATTTATAAATTGAAGACGGCGGCTTCCAAATAATTGTTTGTTTTTGTATAAATAACGATAACTCCGTTGTTATTAACACAAAACTATTACGGCGACATATATCATCTGTGAGAGAAAAAAAAGTTATTTGTGAGTCATATTGAGCTATGACCTACATTTGAAAAACTGAAGTTGATGGTGATATCTCAAATTCTAGAAGAGTTGGTATAAATTTCATATTCTTTTCGAAATCACTTTGAAAAACTGCCATGAGAATGTGAAATTCCTATCTGAATATTTTCATAAATAAAGAAGTTACGGAGGAGACATGAAAATGATCAAAATCTGTTTTTCAGGTATAAAACAAAAACGAATAGATTTCATCGAAATATTTTTTCACATTATAGTTGGCCTTGATAAACTCCACATTTGGTGTCATTTAACCGACCTCGTATTTCTCACCGTTAAAAAGATACCCATGATGAGCATGGTAAGTGGGACTCACTGTATATTAGCATCGCAGGTACAAACCATAATGATCATGGTCACACTGAATTTCGTATCATTTTATGAGGTTTTAGGCACCCTGTGATGAATCACTCGATATAAATTATTGATCGTTATTGACTTACCTCACATTCTGGTTCAATGGTATAGGACCCGTTTGGAAAATAGAGATTTGGACACTCGGCCCATGGAAGCTGTGATTGGAAACTCTGGACGAAATAAAATAGGCACCATGCTATTATCGTGTTGTAGTACAGAGCAACGTTGAAAGATACCACTGCGCTGCTAATGCCTATCCCTGAAACATCGAAGCACCATGTTATGGTTAAGTATTTCGGAACATATCCAAGGAGAGAGCATTGAGATATTTATACAGGGTGTTTCAAAAAAACCTAACCCCCTTGCTAGGGTAGGTAGAACATTGCAAAATAAGTTATGTTTGCTCAGTAAAAAAATGTCGTAACGCCATTCGTTTTCAAGATACAAGGTGTTGAAACAATATTTTTTGTACAAATTTTTCACGATTATGTTGAAACTACTAGCAACATTGTGATGAAATTTTGTATGGATGTTTCTTGGAATCTGACACATCGCATGCATTTGTTTTTATATCTGACTCTCATAGAGGGCGCTAGTTACACGGTTCGTACCGAGTAGTTTTGAACATAACTTTTTTGAGGTTAGATTTTTCATTCCAAATTTGATGTGATATTGAACAACATTCAATTTCACACCAAAAAGGTACTCTTGGTGAAACTCGATACTGTGTTCCGTTTTCGGAATATTTCGATTTGAAAATGATGAAGTGGTAACTGTTGCTGGTATTAGAGTGAGTGTTATGAAAAATTATCACCTATTTATTGAAAACCGAAAACAAAAATACATTTCTGAAGCAAAACTCATTGATTTACAATAAATCACAAGAATAACATCGAAACAGATTTGACTGTTAACATGGATTACACAGTTTTGTTGTATCTTGAGCAGAAAGTCTATGCTACATAGGTAAATTCACTTCAAGAGTTGTGAGACATAATTGAATAGCACTCGAATGACCTAACAGCTGATCCCCAACTGTTCAGAAGAATAATACATTCTTAAAAAAAGGATATTGAATCGGGTATTCCTCGAAACGTATGACATTTTGAACACTTACTCTAACTGATTCAATATTTCATGTTTCTAGTCAAATATCTCTTAATTTTCTACTTATGATTCTTTGTTCCATCAATAACTTCATCACATAATAATTTTATTGTTTTTCAACCTGAATAAATAGGTAATTGAACTCAATAAAATTCATTTTATATCAACATCATTACTACTCCATTATTTTCAAATCGAAATATTCCGAAAACGGAATATAGTATCGAGTTTCACCAAGAGTACCTTTTTGGTGTGAAATTGAATGATGTTCAAGTTCATATTATATTTGAATTAAAAAATTTTACCTCAAAAAAGTTATGTTCAAAACTACTCGGTACGAACCGTGTAACTAGCGCCCTCTATGAGAGTCAGATATAAAAACGAATTCATGCGATGTGTCAGACATCAAGGAACATCCCTACGAAATTCCATCACAATGTTGCCAGTAGTTTCGGAATAATCGTGAAAAATGTGTAAAAAAATAATTTTTTCAACACCTTGTATCATGAAAACGGATGCCGGTACGACATTTTTTCACTGAACAAACCCAACTTATTTGGCAATGTTCTACCTACCCTAGCAAGGGGGTTAGGTTTTTTTGAAACACCCTGTATAAGGCGGAATTTAATGATTCCTGCAGATCAATATTTGTGGAACAGAGAATCATGCCGTTACCAGCTATCTTCAATTTGAAAACTGTCTGATCCACAAAAAACGGCAGAAATTGACCTATAAGTATGTGTAAAACATACATCAATTCAATACACGGACACATATTATTAATATCAGACTACCAATAGGTATCAAATTCAACCCTTGTTAACATTTTCTTTGTTTATGTAAAAACTTCACAAACGATAAGATTTCCACAAAATTCTTAAATACACAATATGTTTCGCTAACACAGTAGCTTCGTCAGGTGATATACTGGTACAATATACTGGTGCAATATTGATTGAACCAGTATATCACCTGACGAAGCTACTGTGTTAGCGAAACATGTTGTATGTGTTAGAGAATTTTGTGGCAATCTTATCGTTTGTGAAGTTTCAACATTTGCCATGATTTTCCATCATGTAACGGCTGAGTCAATTCAAAAATCTTTGTTTATATAATGGACTCAAGTTATTCAATCAACTACTTGACGTTATGAAAGGCATTTCACTACATTGTAGATTCGAAAAAATTGTGAAAAATATATTGATGAGAAGCGCATATTATACCGTTGAAGAGTTTATAGCAGATATTAATTTCTATAATATGTTTACTATTCTAACTGAGTCCATTGAAATTCATTGCCTTCTGTTTTCATCTTGTGAATTGATTTTTTGTAATTTTGTTCTGATTTATAAATGTAAACTTGCAAATTCATTCAGGTTAGTGATTTTTCTTCAGTATATTATTCGATATTCTGTCATAATTCAAATTTTGATCGTTATAATAACTCAGTTTTGAGCCTTGTTACGATAATCTTATTCTTGGGAGAGAGGTAACTTTTTTTTTTCTACAAGCGTGCGTGATTCACCCTATACCCGCACGCAATTTAGTTTGGGAAGTGTCATTTTCCCGCAACAGTGCGGGAAAATTTTCCCACACTAGTGCGGGAAATTTTTTCCCGCTCTAGTGCGGGAAAACAAAGATATGATAAAATCGCTAGTAATATAAGTGGTTGGTGATGGAATATAAAAGTTTAAGTTTGTTTGTTGCAGTATTAAGTATGTATGTTCAGAATCATCCATCAAATTGCACTATTTCTTGTAAAAATTAAGAAATATTGAGAAATAAAAATTGATTATTATAAAAATCCCCCTATAGATTTGGATTGATCTGACAGAAAACGTCAATTTGTCATGCCAATCAAACCTCAAATAAATTTGAAATTGTCGAAGTGACAGACACAGCGTTACTGTCATTTTCGATTCAGTGGAAATGCCACAATGTGATCAAAAACTTCTAGCTATAGGGATTCGATACAGATGCGTTATAACCAACGAAGTCTTAAGAAAGGTATGAGAAGCTATACACGCGTTTTATTGAATGGTGCAACAATAAAGAAATGAAAAAACCGAATGAAGAATAGGTATTTTTGGCTCATTTCATAGAAGTGTCTGGAACCTAGAGACCAAACTCCTAATGGGCCTGCTGGCTTCCGCAATGAACCAACATAATGCGTCAAACTGTAAGTTCACAATAGCTATTACTAAAAATTGATAGATAGAGAATATATATCTCTTGTTAGTTTTTCCTATTTGCTTGAATAATTAATTGAACGATACAATCAATTTCCTACGCTTGTAGAAAAAATATTGTTCCTAACTCATGCGGAAAGTGTCTTTCCCGCACTCGACTGCTTGCCCGAACTCCGCTTCGCGTCGTTCGTGTCAACGGCAGTCACGTGCGGGAAAGAATCACTTTCCGCACTTGTTAGGAAAATTACTATTACTGTGACGGAAAAAACACATTCCATCTCCTTTGACTGGTCACACAATGTCATTTTTCATCAATTACTCTTTTCCCACGGAAAAAAAGAGAGTACTTTTTGCCTGGATATAAAGGTGCACTGTGGAAGGCGTTTATTGTACCACTTCCGAAAAATGAGCATATAACACCGTCTCCGAGGAAGAACTACAAATCTTTCATTCCACTTCGCTGTAGCCAAATACTCAAAGTGGAATAAAATGGACACAAAGAGAGAAACCTGAATTCATTACCACAATAGCTCATAGAATAAACGAAATTGGAGATAACGAGAGAAAACCAACTAATTTCCTGGCTATATGCCACGCAGAACATTGAATTACATCCTTCTGAAATCTATGCAATAATTCGGCAACCAGCCACTTCCATTCCACCTGAAATTTGATCTTGTTGCCAGGTGTCGTTCAGACTTTTTTTTTTTTTTTTCTTACAAATAATATATAAAGTATAATTAATTTTCTAGTAGGAATGACATGAATGATCAGACAGTATAATTCCTGGTATAAGATCATTCATGAAGTATTATCGACTGTTGTATAATTGAAATTACAAACAGTAAAAAAGAAAAAAGGAAATTCATAGTCATTCAGCTTTGATCATTCCTTTGCATATAAATATATTTCTTAATTTTATTTTTGAATTGTATAATATTTGGGCTGTTTTTGATATCATCTGGTAATTTATTGAATTTCGAAATCGCCTCATGTGTGAACTTTTTTTGCCCAAGTTTAGAATTTGCAGCTTCAAGATGAAACAAGTTATATTGTCTAGTGTGATGATCATGAATTTCGGAATTCCTGATTAATATAAAATTTGATTTAAGCTTTTTGTTGATGATATAATAGGAAATTTTTAAAGTATTGATTAAAAAGTGCTCTTCCAGAGAAAATGTGTTTGTTTCCTTATACAGTTGATTCGTTGGAGTATCATATGGAGTTCGCGTTCATTTCGCGGACGTTGAACTCCTCGTGTGGTATGAATGCTGAACTGCGTTTATATTGGGTTAGGTTCGCACCAGATAGCGATCTGGAACTGTCCTGCACTGATGGAAGCCAACAGCACGAAACTGGTCTGCAGGTAGTCACGCACTCCTGAACCACTTTCGTTCATTTCATGAACTATTGTGGTAATGACTTTGAGTTTTTCTCTTTGTGAATGAATGTTAAAAGGTATATAGTTGGATTTCTAGGACAACTTGAACATTCGAAAGTTGGAAAATTGTTAAAAGTCCAATTCTCAAAGGAAATACATGCATTCGGATTGTTCTGAGTTTTCAAATCACAAGTGATATAGGTGTACTCACTGAATCACAAATAATGCTTTCTGAATCACAATTGACGCTTTCTGAATTCCATTTCACTATTCTGAATTACAAGTTACATTTTTTTTTTCTGAATATCATTTGAATAATCTGAATTACATATTACTTCATCTGAATTACATCAATTAACAAATCTGAATTTTAAGTTATACTTTCTGAATCACAATCAACCATTCTGAATTACAATTACAACTTTCTGAATTACAATTACAACTTTCTGAATCACAATTGACAAAGGTGTAGGTTTAGAGATATGACCGATATTTACCAACCTGATAAAAATGGCGACACTTGATTCCACACCCCAATAGCACCCTTCCTGAGCCTCTGGCCAATGGCCAATTCCAAGTAGAAGATCGGGATTCCCTCAATAGCCAACATGATGAAGTAGGGTATCAGAAACGCCCCTCCACCGTTTTTTTGAGCCAGATACGGAAATCTCCATACGTTTCCTAGACCCACGGCATATCCGATAGTGGCCAGGAGGAAAGTTAGTTTGCTGTCCCAGGATTCTCGTTCGTCTTCCACACATTCCGGTTTGAAAATGGCTTTGCCTTCTATAGAGGTCCTGAAAATGATGATCGATATATTATGGATTGACATCAAATACGTACTCGGTCGAGTAGAAGCCTCTTATTACTTATTTTACGAAAATAAAAGGTTTAGTCCCCACTAAACAATTTTCTCAGATATAAGTTCTGTGATATTGTTGAAATAACAATGCGACAGCATTATACCAGAAACCGTTATCTTATAATGCTGTGAAATTGTACAATCCACTTGATTCCTCTACCAAAATTGATGCTATTTATTATTTCAAAGAACGTCTCAAATCACTTTTTTTTTTTGAAACGAAATGCTATCAAAGATTTTTTTCTTAATTCAACTCCCTGTATCTCGACAATGGTGCATTTAAGAGGGTAAGTTGATAGGAACGTATTTTCATATTTTTGGAGTCATGCGCATATATTATGAACCAATTTGTATTTTGTATTGGACTGCTAGATCACATAACTAAGAGATCCATGATCAACAGACTTGCCCCAATTATCAGCAGTAGTGAGACAGTACTGTTTCGACCCACCAGGTCTCATCAGCCGCTCTCGGTCTGCTGACAACTGGGACAACTCTACGCTTCGGGTATATCACCCATTTCGAAGACGCAGGGTATAACATGAAGTTGTAGTCATGTTGTAGCCATCTAGTGGCAAAGCTTTAAGGTAGGATACAGAAATCGCGACACACACTGTATGGCGCTGCCATCTATATTCACACGTACAGACCCCTACTTCTTTACGCTACAGAGTGGTACTACAAGTGAACCACTCTGCTGACAGATGGCATCATCTGACACACTTTATTGGATTTTTTCAACCACCTATTCAACTGCTACATCTCATAACTAAGAGATCCAGGATGTATTGGCTGTATATGAAAAGATGTGGGATACCCTATGTACTATAAAGATTGAGTAATTTTGTAATTTTGTGATTTTGTAATTTCATTCAATTCAGGTATAAATAGAAAATCTATATAAGTATGTATGATATATAATGGGATAATTAAAGAGGCTTGCAGCTACCTGAGCACGCTTGTATTGAAGCATGCAGACAAGATTAGTTATCACAATCTTGGCACTATACCATAAGTACATAATTATGTGTAATATAGTGATGATATGTTGGAGAGAGACAGATGAAGATAGAAATAGAAGTAGAGAAAGAGAGATAGGGAGAGTGATACGATATCTGTGAAGATGTTCAGATTAGTAGATATTTATCTGTCCAGAATCAATTTGAGCATTTCAAAATTGGTTTTTACGAATTTTATCAACTCTATTTTGAATTTTGATCAATTTCGTATATATTTCAATTATACAGGTATTGCATTATATAGTTTAGGTCCTAGATACGACAGAAACTTCTGATTATGTGTAAGCAAGGAACATTCATGGTCTGACTTGAACACGAACTCGTGTTGTATGCATGGTTCACAAAAGATATTGAAGAATGGGCAGCTCATAATAAGCAATGGAAAGTTTAAGTTTCCTAACACCAAATATTCCAGTTTCCTCATATAGAGACTGAGTGCTGTACCGCCGATCCTTTTTCATCATGATTCTCACTAGTGAATTTTGAATCCCTTCTAGATCATCTAGCGATGTCTTGAAAATTCCGTCTCATACGGACCAATCCCTCAGGGTGGTGCAGGAGTACACGCAGGCAATTGGAATGGAATTCGGGATGGACAAATGTGCACTGGTTCATCTCAAGAGAGGACGATGCGAGAACTACGACAAGGACGCGCAGCTCGTGGACGGAAGCATCCTACACCACCTGGATGCCGGATAGACGTCAATCATCATTTTCTTGTTGAGTATATTTTTAAGCTGATAGAGTTTGAAGATTAATTCAGGTAGTCTACTAGCTGTGTATTCGATGTAATCATTCCACCGAAGACATTGGTCTACTATCACCCCTGAGTACTCAATTTTGCAAGTTTTATTCATAGAAACACAGCTGCAATTAAATATGTTATTCAGCACAAGATGTTTTATGAATTTTTAAAGTATTCTTATTTGGTTGGTCTCTAATAGTTGAAGTAAATGTAATGAATTCGTTTTTTTTTACATTATTGCTCAATAAGTTACTGCTCAGCCAGTTGAAGATCATTTTCATGCCTACTTCAGCCTGAGTATACTCTTCTTCCCACGTTTCTCCAACATAGCTGTATTCTCAGCAAAAGGAGTTATTCTATCAGCGAAACCTGAGAAAGATGGGCCCCAATACAGTTCCTTGGGGTACGCCTCTAGTAATAGTAAGTGGGTCACTAAAAGTGTTATTTACCTTGACAGTTTGTATCCTATTTGTCAAATAATCCTTGAATAGGTCAGAACTCTTTTTTTTGAATTGTATGATTTTTGTTTTATCTTCTGATGTAGATGAATAATCAATGTATATGATTTTCTCACTGTCATGCTTCCTCGAAATGTGCTAGCTATGTTGTAGTACGATGTTTAGATTGAATCATATTTCAGTTCACTCTGACTTGTAAACATATGTTGCCGTTTTCCCAGGTTGAATGAAAGAGCAGTTGCCTTTCTCCTTGGAAAGAGGTGACTGAATTCCGCCTTTTCTTTATTGAATAAAGACATTATTATTATTATTATTAATATGTCTAGGGCAATAACTCATCATCACTCTAACGTGCTCTACTCACCTTTTACTACTGGAAACCGACTTGATCTTGGAATTAGGACTTGTATCTTCGAATGCAGCGTTAGTAGACCCGTAAGTTCCTTTACTCCCGTTTTCGATGACCAGTCTTCCACGCATTTCCCTGAGTTCCAACCGATCGAGTGATCGTTGTGGATTGAGATCGCGGGAGCTCTGTCTGCGGACCAGGTGGGCGGTGTTGGCCATTGTACCGATTTGTGGTAACAGCAAGTCGAATTGACTGATGGCCTTATTTTATACGGAGGTAGGCATTCTTGGTGTTGTGGGCATTCTTATCTGGAAAAGTCACATATTAGACCGAAGGAACCTACGATGGAACTTGAATAATGGAGACCATCCTTATACTTCATATATGTACATACCTACTTGGTGTTTCTTAAGTACGTGTGGAAAATTCACTAGCATGTTGCTGACGTCAAAATAAGAAGAGTTCGTATAAATATAAGTACGGAAGTTATTCGTTTCTGAGATACAGAGTGTCAAAGTTGAATTCTTATTTATGTTTTTTGTAAATGAATTTCGAAATAATCGTGATATCGGAATGTAATTTGGTATCTAGGAGTATTTTTCGATGACCATATCAAACTTTTTGTTAGTTTGTCTCTTTCGTGGGAGTGGCGCCACCTACATGTCTTTTGAGTCTTTCGAAGTCATAATTTTTTTGTGCGTACCTGTATAACGTAACATAGTAGAAAAATATATTTCTAGAACACTTTTGTGTTGAAAATATATTTTTGTTAGAGGTTGCTGCGAGCAACTGTTTTCGAGTTATCGGGATTCGAAATAATCGCTTTGAGTTATTTCCATGTGGCTCGTAAGTCGCCTCTTATTTTTCTTCTTCCTTTCATTATCCTCCTTTTTTCATCATTGGAATGTAGGCAGAAGATGATTCTTACTTCTTAGTACCTACTTTTTTGGACTCTCCCAATTTAAAAAAATACAATCAAATTAGTACTTGTCATGTTATTTCAATTCGTTCTTCTGACAGTGAAGTTTGTTGCCATCTGTACTTGTAATCCAAGCTTTTTCAACTAAGTGTTTTAGTATCAATTTGGTCTTAATTACTGTTATCATTATAAGTATCAAATTGTAATATCACCCGATACCTATTTTTAATGAAATCAAAAGAAAAATAATTTCTGTTACTTGATGAATCAATTTTGAATTACAACTTTATTTGTCATTCCAAATTACTTGCATTGATAATTTTAAATCCCAATAACTCGAAAACAGTTGCTCAAGTCGGCGACCATTCACTTTTCTAAAGATACTTCCATGGAAAATATTTCTCAGAATTCACCGCTATAATTCCATCACTAGCAATATCAGTCACACAAACTCGACAGGCCCAGTGAGCACATGCTTCTGTCGTCAATCTTGAAATATGTCGAGCAACATTCTCTGCTATGCCAATTGAGCTAACAGGACATCCGAACAATCGGCAGTGTTGTTGAATTTAATATATCTCCATTTTTCATCTTCCTGTATAAGGAGGTAGTTTCGAGTTTGACAATTTTTGTCAAGTAATATTTTTCTTCAGTCAATAAAAGTCATTGTTCTTTGAAATACTTATTCATTCAGAAACCAGCGTATCTGATCGTTCTGAAGACATCAGGACGGTCTGAGCCAGCAGACAGCTACATTGGTCCTTCGATAGCTAGATCTCTGAAGAAGAATTTGTAGACATACGTAGGTAGACATGAGCAGAAAGACTGAAGAGATTTCTAGAGTTGAACGAAAGACATACGATACTAGACTGCAAAGGAGAGCCCGTACACTAGATCAACACTCCGATGAAGAAGTTGAGTTCACAAGAGATAAAGTAGATAGAAGAAGAAAGACTAGTGGACAAGACAAAGATTACATTCAAGACAGAATCATACAGGGTGGAGAATTACAAGTTTGTGAAAATGAAAAAAGATGTTGGGAAAAAAAATTTCAAATCTATCTCAACTAAAAAATCAATGAAAAGTCGAAACACTTCCGCAAGTACAGCTGAACGACGGAAATTAGAGATAGAACTGGAAGCAGATAAGATGATACTCAAGAAATTGGCATTAGATAAAATGAAGATTGATGAAGAAGCAGATAAGGAAGACAGTTCCTGTGATGAAATCGATATAAGGAGCTCTAATAGAAACAGCGAAGTTGAAAAATGGTTGAAATCATGTAACGAAGAAGATAAAGCTACAGTGATGATGAATGATATTGAAAAGAAAGAGCTATCTCGAGATGAATGCGCGGAGGGTAGGAATTTGGACATGGACGGTTAGTTTGTTAATAATGCAATAGCTAAACCAGAAGTGAATTTCGAGACATGTGGATTCAGAAGACAGGCCGTTGATAGATCCTTACCATATTTCGATGATAATCCATCTGAATGGTTAGTATTCATTAATGAATATCATGAAACGACTGAACTATGTAAGTATTCAGACAGTGAAAACATTATTAGACTCAGGAAATGCCTCAAAGGAGACGCCAGAGATGCCGTGAAAATGCTTTTGATCTCTCATAGAAATGTTCCAGATATTATAGAAACTTTAAAAAATAATTACGGACGTCCTGAATTTATGATTCGATATTTAATTGATCAGGTTCGTCAGACACCTTCACCAAAAGACTTTATGTAATTTAGTAGCTGCAGTGAAACATATAGATAGCGATATATATCTGAAAAATCCTTTACTTGTCGAAGAATTTGTTTCCAACCTCACCGTCAGTTTGAAACATCAGTGGGCATTTCATGCTGTAAAATTGAAGGAAATCACATTATTAGAGTTATCAGATTGCAAGTTCACTCTGTAACCCAAAATCAGAACGTTTTGCTACACATAAGAGATCGGAAACGGTTCTGATAACAAATACAGATACGAATTTTGAAACAAAATGTTCATGTTGCGATAAAACTAAGTATAATTTAGAAATATGTCAAAAGTTTCAAGAATTGTCTGTAGACGAGCGTTGGCTCTTTGTGACAAAAAATAAACTTTGTATTTCCTGTCTCAAACCGAATCATAGAATGAATTCATGTTTTGCCAAAAGAATTTGTGGAGTCCGAAATTGCAAACTCAGACATAATAATATGTTACATAAAGAGGTTGAATGTCAGGTCCCAGCAGAAACTAATAGACATGATCATTCGCCAGAACCTGTTTGCGTACATAATAGTCCTTCTGAAATACTCCTCAGGACTATTCCAGTTAATTTAGAGGGTCCCCAAGGTAAAATACTGATATATGCGTTATTAGACGAAGGTTCGACAATAACTCTTCTTGGTAACAATGTAGCAAAAGAAATTGGGTTGAACGGGACTGTGGAACCACTTTGTATGCAGTGGACAAATCATCATTGTCAAACTGAAAGTAATTCAAGAAAATTAAAATTAACTATCAGTGGTAATTTTTCTGATGCAAAATCTTATAATTTGACAGACGTAAGGACGGTAGATAATCTGAATTTACCTTTGCAATCTCTCGACATGAAAATGATAATTGAACGATGGCCGCATTTGGAAAATATCCCTGTCGAATCATTCAATAGGATAAGACCAAAAATGCTTATTGGTACAGATAACTATGATTTAACGATGCCTAGAAGTTTTGTTAAACACTCCAGGTATGCGCCGAAAGCCACACTAACCAAACTGGGATGGGTAATCAATGGCCAAATAATTCCGGGTAGGATTCACAATAATTTCAATTTCCATATCTGTGAAAAGAATTTTGAGAATGATATGCTGCATTCCCTAGTTAAACAATCTTTCATGTTGAATGTTGATGATGTGAAAGATGACGATATTTGTATTTCGAGAGAAGATGACTTTGCACTTAAAATAATGAAACAAACTACGCGTAGAATAGGAGACCGATTTGAGACGGGACTTTTATGGAAACAAGACACTTTCATAGTACCAGAAAGTAAGACTATGGCACTAAACCGTTTGTATTGTCAAGATAGAAAGATGGATAGGGATCGTCTCTTTGGAGAAGTTTATTGTCCGAAAATCAATGAATATATTACAAAAGGATATTTGAAAGAGTTAGGGCAAGAAGAAATTGTACTTGAATCTGAAAAAAACTGGTATCTACCACATTTTGCCGTGTTCAACGCAAACAAACCCGGTAAACTACGGTTAGTTTTTGACGCAGCATCCAAGTCTCATGGACTGAGTCTAAACGATATGCTCTTGTCTGGTCCAGATTTGCTAACACCGCTTCTGAATGTTCTATGGACTTTCAGGCAACGTAGGACAGCATTCTCCGCAGATATTGCGGAAATGTTCCACCAAGTCAATATTATAAAGAAAGATAGGACAGCACAACGTATCTTGTGGAGGGGTTTTGATAGGAATCGAGAATCAAGCGTACTTGAAATGCAGGTTATGACGTTTGGAGCTACCTGCTCGCCATCATTGGCACAATATGTCAAAAATGAAAATGCCTCTGAATATAGTAAATTGTTTCCTAAAGCTTTTGATGCGATAATCAGAAAACATTATGCAGCACAACGTATCTTGTGGAGGGGTTTTGATAGGAATCGAGAATCAAGCGTACTTGAAATGCAGGTTATGACGTTTGGAGCTACCTGCTCGCCATCATTGGCACAATATGTCAAAAATGAAAATGCCTCTGAATATAGTAAATTGTTTCCTAAAGCTTTTGATGCGATAATCAGAAAACATTATGTTGACGACTATTTAGACAGTTGCGATTTAGAGGAAGAATCAATAAACCTCATCAAGGACGTCATTTATGTACATAGAAAAGGGGGATTTCATATTCGTAATTGGTTATCTAATTCGCAAAACGTATTGTTGAATATACCCAAAGACATGAGACTCACAACAATTGAAGAGTTCAGTTGTGATTCGGACTTACCTATCGAGAGAGCATTGGGAATTCAATGGGATCCTGAGAAAGATGAATTCAGGTTTAAACTAAATTTTGGAAAAATATCAGCTAAAATTGACACTTTCGAATTCATTCCGACCAAACGAGAAGTACTGCGACTTGTAATGAGTATTTTTGGCCCTTTAGGTTTCTTAAATGACATAATCGTTAAAGGAAGAATTCTTTTACAAGAAATCTGGCGTGAGAAAACGGAAAGGGATGATAAAATGAGTTGTACTCTAACGAATAAATGGAATATTTTCTCGAATGAATTGAAGCTTATAACTAATATATCAATTCCTCGCTGTTATTCCTTGCATATTCCTTATTCAAAATCGATTCAACTACACACCTTTTGTGATGCCAGCGAAAAGGCGTATGCAG